CCGGCGGCGCTGCGGAAGGGGAGGGGAGGGAAGGACCCGGCGCAGGCACTGACACGGCGCTGGGGCCTCTTAAAGGGGCAGCCGGGCCGGCCGGGCCGGGGGAAGCCGCGGGGGTGGGGGAGCCCAGCGCTTTCCTCACGGCTGCCCGTGAGACAAAGGCAAAGTCGTGAGCGGTCCCGCCCGCTCGCCCTTGCAGCCACGGGCCTGGGCAGCATCACACCATAACAGACACGGCCGTGGCTAAAACTGCTTAAGAACGTGCCGTGCCCACAGCCCTGTGTGCACAGGGAGGTATCCATCCCCGTCCATACAGCCGTGCCCACATATATTATGTATAAACAGCAGCACGTCTCTGTGCTGTCGCTTGTGTTCACAGCGAGGCTCTCCCCCCAGGCACTGATGCAGCTCACCTTCAAAGGTCACGTTTTCCCCCACTCATGTAAGTGCTGGTGGGTAGCAGGCTTGTCATTCCGTCAATCCTACCTTCTTTGCCAATAAATGACAAGCTGGATTTCTGAGATGGGCAACTGGTAGTCCAAAGTAACCCTTGATACTGACAATAAAGGCTGCTGTGTTTGGGCACGAGTCTCACTTTTGTCCTGTATATTATTTAGCCCCAGCAACTCAGTCACACATTTCACCTCTGAGTGAAGGGTGGCAAATTATTTCAACAGAATTCTGGCTGCTGGGTATTAATTTCCTTCTGAAATCACACTATCACACTCCCTGCTTAGCCCTTCTTAAGGTATGTGTTGTTTTTGTGTATTAATTCAACCTCTGAAAATAGGGTAAAAAATACAACTGAAGTTCCATCTTGTCTGTTTGGAGGACAGGAAAAGGTGATATGTACCCCTCATATCCCCCATAAACTGTTTCTTTCATGTTTGTGATGAGGCATATCTTTTCTGGTACATTTTACTAGAAAAGAGAGTAGGATATGGCCCTGACAAGAACTAATAAAATCCCATAAGAATGAAAAGCACAACTCCACAGGAGTAGCTCTCTTACCTTTGAGATATACACTGTTTCAAAATCCATTAAACAGTTTTCCTCTCCATTCTCTTTTATATGAAAATCAAAATATTTTGGGGTATTTTCAGCTATATCACAGACTCATGTATTCACTTTTGCATAGTTCATCCCTCCTGTCTTTTGTTTCCTGGCTTTAACTGCTTTGCCTGCTCTTGTTTCCTCAGCTTTTAACACGTAACAGGCATTGGTCAACCTATATGGAAAACAGATTATGACCTAAATCATAATAAAACTTATGTGTTTTATAAATAACTCTATAAATTTTTCAAGACTTCTCAATCTGTCACAGAAATAAAATAAATTGCCTTTTCTCTATTGATGCTATTTGTTTGCTTAGTGGTAGTTTGACCAACAAAAATCTGACATGCAATGTATTTCTAGGAATAATAAGATTGTATTGGTATGGTTATAAACAATGGCAGGTATGTGACATCACTGGGATACGTTCTGAATTCATACAGAACTTTTACTGAAGGCTCACCATTCTGATTTATAGAGCAGTTTCTATTTCTTTTCTGACATTTGTGTCCTTTCTGGAGGGAGGAAAAATTCTGATGAGTCAGATGAGGGATTTCTGTGTGCACACTTACCAGTGAATAATACATCCTCTTTATGTACTGGGGTAGCACAACTCCCGAAATTCCACTGGGAATTGTTCTCTGGATTTTTGCTGATACTTTACGCATTGAACAGAGCAGTATTTTAATTGGATACAAAATTTCTTTAAGACTACGGTGGCAGACACATACCTATGATTTGAGACTGAGAATTCCTGCGATGAGGGGTAAGTTGGGGCCGGGCTGCCCGGCACATCCCCTCTGCTGGCCGGTGAGAGATCGCACAGCGCTTCCGAGCCGGCACGGATCTGATCCTGCAGTGACCGCCGGGCTCCCTCTTGTGGGAAGAGAAGCCGCTTGGCTCTGGGTAAAACTCTCGAGCTGTCACTCGAGAGCTCTTCTTCAGCATCATCCCACGCGAAAGAACCGCCCGTTTTGTAAGGACAAAAACAAACAAGCAACGACAAAAAAACCGTAGGACATAAGCTGAGCTTTTAAAATGAGAAATAAAACATGGTTTCTGATTAATATGTGTCTGAAACTAAAAAATTGTATTTTTGTTAACACAAAGCAGCACTCTTGGTAGAGTTTGACAAAGCTGACAGGCCTTGGGAAGTCCCATCTGGTCTTACTCGTGCTATGAACCCAGGGGAAAAAAAGGTTCTCTCCTCTCTGAAATCAGACAATGGCCCTTTCTCACTGTGAAAACAACTTTCAGGCCAAAAATACAGGAAAGTGATCAGCTCTCTCCACCACTAAATACACATTCTCCTACAACTTGCCAAACATTTATTTTCATTTGCATGCTCAGAGATGTAATACAGTGTTCAGAGCATTCACTCACCAGTGTTTTACACTAGAACTACCTCTAACTCTTGATGGAAAGCTGAAAACACACAGAGGGGGACAGATTTATTCATGGTGAATGGACTCCAGTTCTGCCACACTGTAAACCTGAGCTGGGAACCAACAGGATTCAGAAAGTTCTGAATCCCATGACCTCTGTAAATATAAACAATAATACCTTAGGTGTCAAATAATAACTCAAAAGGTGAAATAACACCATTAAAAATTAAAAGAGCAGGCTTTTATAGTAAGAAATTAATTTTGTCAGGTGGCTTTCTTAAATGCATTTTGACCCATTACCAGTGGGTTTGCTCAGCACAAATGCATCCACAATCCCTGAACACATTAGCTTTTACTTATTAAAGACAAGAAACAGCATAACTTTAGTATTTCTTTCGGGAAATGGATTGCTGCAATTGCTCTTTACCTTTGCTTCAGACTGACTCCAAAGTTTACTTCAATTTCTTTACTGCAAATTCCACAAGGAAGCTGAAGCTGACTGTTGCCATGATTACTGGGGGATTTCAACTGGTGTAGAAATTGTGGTTTAGCTTACCTACAGTTAGAGTTAATAAAGCTTTTTCAACACTGTTTTCCAAAATATTAAAGCTTTTTCAAAGTAAATAATGTTGCTGATAGAATGGATTTACAGAGATAAACCATTGGCCAGATAGAACTCACAAATTTATATTTATTTTCTATAGTTAGTTTCCTTTGTGCTTTCCTAAGCAGCTCGTCATTTGCAACAAGATCCAAGATTAATTTTAGATGATAAATTATTAATATGGAGTTCTTTGCAGGGGAGGTTTCAGTGGTGCTAAAAACACCCTTAAAACCAAGCAAGGAAGCAAAAAAACCACAAACACATAAAAAACCCAACAAACCACCAACCAAAAAACACCCAGTGTCAAAGCACCCATCATTTAATAAACAGACTCAGGCTATTGTCCCATGTTAACTGATGACTGACAGAGTATTGCATTTGTATGTGAAGTTTTTGGAGCTCCAGATGATACAAAACAGTAATGGCATCATGCAATGTGCTGAATCCCAAGGAAAAAACTGTCCCAGCTGATTTTCCAGGCAACATAATCGTGTTGTTAAAGAGACTGTATCTCCGTGACTTCGTAATTATTACAATAATTGAACTCAGCAACAGAAGAAACCCTAAGGAGATATATTTCTTGGTGAGAAAAAACCCCGAAACGAGATCTTTTCTTAGATTTGTTCCTGAGTCATTTTGCAGTGTAAACACTGTCTCTCATGTCAGCACTGAAGCCCAGCTAACCTGATTTGCTGCAGCAGAGTGAACCATCTCCACTCTCAGGAAACACAAAGGCCATGGCCACACTGCCCACCCAGCACAGCAGGTGCTACAAGCACAGTGTAAATTCCCCTCCTTTGTGAAACAGACTCTGGAACTGCACAACTGCATAGAACACCATCAGGTTGAAATATTACACGTTTGGATAAAGAGCTCCTTTTGTACCCTCACAGATTCATTTTTTCCACCAAATGCTACATTTGTGTCCTTGCCAACAGGCAGCACAATTGCCAAAATGAAGATTGTCTGATAAAAAAAGATGCAGAGCTCCTAGATCTCTATTCATCATATTCTAGGAAGCTGCTCTAACTTACGTCAAAAGGAAAAAGTAATGAAAAGCACGTTCAAGCTATCTTTTTTCCACTTTTTCCTATTTCTTATCAAAGTGGGGAAAATGGCAGAAAATCCAGAATATTTTCAGATTGATGCATTTCTTTATTAAAAAATGTCTTTATTTTTCAGAAGCTCAAATCTGAGTCTTATTATAATTATTTTTAAAGGTAATGTTTCTGCAATGATTGGATAAATATCTCAAGAAACTGTACCTTATAACTCTTCATACGTTTTCTTCTTTCTCTCCATTTAAAATAATTGCAGCATTAAATTTAGAGCATTGTATACATATTTATTTTTTTTTATGTCAGCAAGCCTAAAATGCTGGATATGAATCCTAGAAATATGGAATTCTAGGCTAGATACAACAGAGCATTAGAGTTCAGAGAGATATTGGAAAAATTAGACGTAAATAATATGTCTTCCATATTATGCACCTGTGTGACCATTCTTTCTTGTTCAAGAGAATGGAAAAGAATAGCATTCTTATCTGGCAACGTTTTCAAAATATTAGGCAGCTGTGTTAAAACAACCAAGTTCCTACCTGGACTTCTTTGGAAATATTTAATACTGGGCTCTGATTCTCAAGTGGAAAATTAAAAGTAACACACATTTTTCCTGGATAGAGAAACCACAGTGGAAACTATGCAGTCTGCATTTGTGTACTTCCAACCTGATACTTAAAAAAGATTTGTTTCCAATTAGTTTTAAAATACTTGGAATGCATAAAAGCAAATCAGAATTATTTTACACGATGATTTTAAAAGACAAAACCATATTGATGTCACCCTTCATTCTGAACTGCCACTTGTTTCCTGCTCCCATGAGAATGCCACTTCACTAGCTAAGATTTCTAAAGAATTATCAAAAAACAGCACACTAAAATGACATCATTTTTGACTACAAGCCTTTCTGGCAGATAGCTGAGCCCATGGCACTGGCAATGTCTTCTTGCATTAAGACAAGGATGCTATGTTTCAACTACATAAAGAAAGGTTTACATAACAATTGTACCACCCTGCACAGGGAGCCTGCAGCAGCAAGGGAACTCTGAGCAAGAAAGTTTGGGTAAGTTTTTCCTCCCTCATTTCTAAAATTAAAGCTCTCTAGTTCTGGTTTGAGAGCATTGTTGCAGAGAAGTGTGGCACTTGCAGAAACAGCTGACAGTTAGCAGCAACTCAGGCTGACTTGAGTTTTGTCTTCTGGAACTTCCATACTGTACTTCTCTACTTCTGTGGAAACAGAAAAGTTATAAAATCAACTTACAAGAAAAGATACCATCTGATAATAAGGGTAACAAAAGCTGGATGCAGGCCCAGTCACTGCTGTAGTGACTAAAACCTGGGCAGACAATGACACAAATATGCTTGCAGGTGTTTGAAACTGGCTCTAAGGCTTGAAAAACCTTTCCAGTCCTTCAGACAATAAACAAAGAAAATGCACATGAAAAGCAAAACTCCACATACTGATGAGATTTCCTGCCCCAATTTGGGCCCTGTGCCCAAGAGTGTTCTCCAGCTCCTTTATCATGGACTGTTCAAAGGCCAAGGCAGCAACACGGGAGAAGAATTCTTTGACATTTTCTCCTAGGAAACAAGAAAGAAATGACGTGTTTTTATAAAGGCACATCAACAGATGATCAAGACTAACAAGCACATCTGTGAACAGCTGACTGCTCAATATTGGGACAGAACAGGCCTCTCCAACAATCTGTCTCCCATTCTGATCACTGCAATAAGAATTTCTAATTTTCTTGCCCTGGAATACTGTACCCTGTGCTGCACCCTTATTTTTAGCCAGCAACAGAGAGAATTAATTTTGTGGTGTAATCTTTTTCCACTGCAAACGTTGAGTAGAAGTGCACATGTGTATGTAACTATCTATGAATTAAACATGCTCAGATACTGCAAAGCAGCTTGATTACTTCTTTCTGTAAACACGACAGTGAAAGCACGCATACAAATGTTCAAATAAAATCAGTCATTAGTAAGACTGAACTTCTTAATAGCAACAAAATGCAACAACAACAACAACAACAACAAAGAAACTGGCAACGGGGGAATAATAAGTTCCTCCCACTCCAACATCAAGCCTCGTGGTTATACTACCTTCACATCCTTTGCAGTAATTTACCTGTTTTGGCTGAAACCGACCAGTATTCTGCCTGCATCTCCTTGGCAAAACGGATGGCATCCAGCTCTGTCCTTTCACACACTGCATCTGACTGGGCAAATAATGTGCAACAACTTGAACAGAAGTGTTTCTGGGCTGGTAACAGCACAGAGGCACTGCCATAGCAGCTACACTGTGATGTTTCCAGTTTTTTCAGTGGCCTTTCTGACCTTGCCTAGACTTGAGCAATCAGACAATGCAACAAGAACATAAAAGTATTTGGTACTGGCTTTAAATGGAAGTCTCCACTCAGCTCCCATAGCGCTGAGACAAAACAAGAGTTAACAACTGACCCTTATATCTAACACATTCTCTGGTAAAGAACTATCAAGTCAGCAGCCCATTAATGGTCTTTAAATCCTTGACACCACGTCATTCTCAGCAGAAGAGTTGTGGGACCAACTAGTAACAGAAGAAACAAGTTTGTTTTCAAAGCTTTAAAAATCTTTTTTCTACAAAAAGACAAACACAGGACTGAGAATTGTAGAGAGACTGCATTCACCCTGTTTGTTTGAAAATCATGTGATATTCAATTGAGTAAGAAACCTTCCCTGTTCCTGAATTATGAACACAATATCCCTTTAAAAACCAATTTCCCTTATTTTTTCCAATAACTCTCTGAACTCTAATACTCACTTGTGAGTATCTAGATTAGAATTCCATATTTCTAGGATTCATATCCAGCATGTCAGGTTTGCTGGCTTAACAAAAAAAAATATAATGCTCTAAATTTCATACTGCAGTTATTTTAAATGGGGAGAAAGAAGAAAACCTATGAACGGTTACAGAACAACAACAAAACCTTCAAGACCGCTGTGTATGTTTATATATGCATGAAGAATGTCATGCAAGAAATATTTCATTAACTAACCATTTTTTAAGAAAGCCTCTTCTTAATTGGTTTCAAGTGTGCTGTTCAATTTACCTTTAAAGTTTTTCACTCAAGGTCTTTATCTCAATGACATTGTGCAAAATTTTCAAGGGAAATCATTGAGGAACTAGGGAAATTTTTATTTCCTTATCTGCACTCAATTTACTCACCACCAAATCTTTTTTTGTTCCAACCAGAAAGATGAAGCTGGAATCTGGCTCGTTCTCTCTCAATGCATCTTCTAGCCACTGTCTGAAATACAAAAAAGAAATGACAGAATCAGTCAGAGGGAACAAGGAGTACAGGAGAAGATGACAGATAATAGGGTCACAAGAAAAGTGAGTGGAAGAACTTATGTGAGAGTATCAAAAGTCTTTCTTTCTAGACAGAGAGAGCAGTAGCTCTTCCAGCTCCTTTGAATGCATGTCTCCAACTAAGGAAAAATCATACCCATGGAGAGTACAAATTCAACAATCATTTTAGCACCCAGAGAGGATATTTCTCAAAGGGAGAGGGTGAAGTTTGGTGCGAGATAAGGAATAAGAAAGCAAGAAGCAACTGGAAAGGTATGAACCACATAGCAGGTTAGATACAAATGGGAATAAAGAGCGAAATAATCTATTCAGCATTATAAAACAGCTCCCTATGAAGGCTGTATGATTCTTGTCTCACAAGCTTTTATATTCTTGTTACTCTGGCAATCAAGTTTCTCTTGAGTCATCCAACACAAGTCAAGGAGGGAAGGCAGTGTGTGCGTGTGTGGGAAATCAGGTTCACAGGCTTCAATTACTTTCAGCCAAGCAGAGACACTAATATATATATTATTTTACAAAGTCCTATGTAAATGAGCTAAGCACCATAGTACACATTCAAATAAGACAGAGTACAGGTTGTAAAGAAGTCTGTACCTGCATTACAGTCACAACAGCACGTTAGAAATACCTATGCTCTGAGCTGTGACAGCAGTGTGGATCATAGACCCATGCAGGGTTTTGCAGCCTACGCTAAAGCAGGATGAGTTTACTCATAACAATTAGTGTGTTGTTGTAACCAAAGCATTACAAGAATCTGAACTAAGTTTAGTAAGTTTAGCTGTATGTACACATACTTGGAGTTTTTATTTTTCTCTCCTCTTTTTGACAGCCTATCTTTCATCAGAATCACAGAAACTAGATAAAGAAAATGTTGGGATAACAGTGCACCTAAAAAATGAAAGGCTCATGACACATTATGCATGAGATGCATCTCATCTGTTTTATCATTTACATTAGATTCCAGTCTGTTATTCTATTTATAGCAAATGAAGAAAGAAAAAAAAAAAGCAAAAGCTTTTGGGCTTCACTTCATCTCTTCCTGCATGTCTAACTTTGGAAGGATCAAGCTTTTACTGAAGTGCCTCTCTCTCTGCACTGACTTTAAAGGAAGTCAAGTGTAAGCAATTCAAATTTATGTCCTGCATCTTCTTCAGAAAAATCCCTCAATATGTAATCCAAACTAGTGACTGTCATTTTTAATTTCTTAGCTCAATAGAAAATACACTCATGATCCAGCAAGTTAACACCTACATATGGAAGGCAATTAAACCTGCTGTAAAAACCTTTAAAAGATAAGCCAAAATGCAGAAACTTACTTGGTGTGATCCAAAGTTTGGATATCAGCCAGATCAAACACTGTTATTATAACTGCAATAAAAGACAAGAACAGAAAAAAAAGTAATTAAATTAGAAAGTGTATCAGAAGTCTCTCCAACCCGTCTTGTTAAATAGAGAGAATGTTTATGTATAAGGTGTAAGAACAGATTTAACACATAGGAGGTGAAAGACTATCCATTTGCTCATTCCTTTTCTTTTTTTAGCACCCAACAAGACCTAAGTCCTTAGTCTTCAACATTATATCTATAGTCTGCAGTCTACAGTGCTATCAACCCTTTCATTTTGGGACCACTAATTCCCACAGAATTGTCTCTTACAAAGGGAAAGCCAGAAATATCCACTTCCAACTCCAGCACTAATCTCACCTAACCTCAAATTCTTTTCCCCCTAGTCACGAGTGCCACTTTCTATCACTGCATCATCAGTACACTTAGAGCTTGTAGATGTGACAACACATCAAGTCATGAATTTCTTCATCCCTTCTTCCCTGCAATAATGAACAATCCATTCCACCACACTGTGTCTGTAGGTACCTTCCCAAGCAGCGTATGTGGATATATGTTGCTGTACAAAATGCAACCTTCCATCAAATGCAGGATCAAATTAATATTGTTCTCACCCTCTGCTCCTCGGTAGTAAGCAGACGCAATGCACTTGAACTTCTCCTGACCTGCTGTGTCCCATCTGTGCAATGAGGGGAAAAAAGAAATTTCAGGTTAATGAAACCCAGGGTAACCTGAGTAAACATGTTAATGAAGCAGCAGACTGGTACAAGGCGGAGAAGAATGTGATACCAGAAAAGTGTCACCATCTGGAACATGTTACTCATTAACTACTGATAGAAATACAGTAAAGCTCTATTAGTCAATGAAGACATGCAAACATCATTTTTACCTTTTCTTAAAAAATACTCATAATTTTGGAGACAATTCAAGTATTTGTATTCTGCATGGTAATATCATTCCCTTAAAACATTTATTTTTTTCCCCTGTGTAATTTGCATGCATTTCTAGGGACATCTAGTTTTGTAAATTTTCTTTGCTAATACTAGCTAAGTCATGTATTAGCTCATGTCAGAATCTTGCAACTGCTAGATAAGATCAGTTTCTACACTACAAATTAGAGACCTGTAGCTCAGTCTACCAGGTACTAATGACACCATTAAATAAAATCAAGAATGTCCTTCTTATTAATGAGCACAATATGCAGTGCCTTCAGCTACTCCAGCACTACAGAGGTCTGGGTTTTGTTTTAGCCTTGTACTGCCAGTCACAGATACTTGCAAATATATCTTGTATGGAAATCTCTCAGCAAGAGGGGGCACTAGTGCTTATCATATGGAAATGTTCTACCCAGATTCTGAAGACTTTGCAGATAATGCAACCTGACCTTATTGTTTCAACTTGCAAAATGCTGATGCATGAGTCTAGATTTTTAGGGGGACTCAAGTTCCAAAAGGATAACACCTGGCAGAACTTCCCAAACACAATTGCAGTGAAATCAGTGGGAAATGGATTTTTAAAGTATTTTTCAATACCACAAGCCATCTATTTACATCAGTGATCTCACTAGAAAAAAAATGTTCCTAAGTAAAAAGGTTTTTAAGATTCATGCACTAAAATATCTCATGCAAAGCATTGTATTGCTGCTCTAGGTCACACTACAAATGATTCCATAATGCCCTCTACAGGACAACATTGTTTGCCACCAGAAACACAAAGGGACACCACTGCACAGACCCAAAGCAGGTGGAAGAAGGGAAGGATTCCCACTAGTCTGACAAAGTTGAAAATCAAAATTATTAGGTTCACATTGTAATAAAACCACTCCAGTCTTTCTGTGATTTAGGGATAAATAATTAGTTGTTAATTAAGAGATGTTAAAATCACTGGACCCTTAACATCAATTTCAATGACTGCAGGAATAAAACCCCCCATAAAGCCAAGTTCAGTGCTCATTTCTCTGCTAAACTCAAATCACACACTGGGGTTACACTAGCACTGGACAAAGCTGTGGCAAAAGCTTCCACGTCTCTTTCATGAACGTTGTGTAAAAAAAGACAGAAATAAAAGAATTCACTGAAATAATGCAAGACATCCAGGATGAATTTTCTCTGACATGTTTGTAATATGTTTTAGCGATGAGAAATCCAAGAGTAAAATTTCTACTAAAACTGCAAGTCCAGAGACAGAATCTTTTCTTCAGATCACATTATTCTTTGTGCAATTGTATTATATATTTAAAATCTTTATTCCACTACAGCCTGCAGCAATTCAAGCTCTGCTGAGACTGTACTCTGTGCAATGCTTAACCATGCTCTTTCAACTCACATCTGGAGGTTATATGGCATTCCAATTATCTCAAAACGTTCAGTCTCAAAATCTACTCCAATGGTTGCCTTGTAGTCTCGGTCAAATTTATCTTTACAAAATCTGCAATTAAAAAAAAAAGGGGATTAAATACTAGTAGACAATTACAAATAACTGCAAAACTAACACTGTTTTGGGTAAATTAGGAAGAAAAGGGAAAACTAACTGTGGATTTGCTATATAATGTAGAAGCAGACACAAAAACATCAAGACACTAATTTAAAAGAGATACTGTTTAACAAACTAGAAAGCACATATATCTAGTAATCTCTCAGGATACAATGAGACTCAGAATAAAACATCTTTGGGTTCTTAAGGGAGCAAAAGTATCTTCTGGTTTTAGTTACAAGGGAATATCTTTTGGGTCATAAATAATGACCCAAAGGAAATCAAGTCTCAGACACTGGATTTTTTTTTCCAATTGTTTAGCCTTTAGACTGGATTCCTTAAGAAAACACTGTGTCATATTTGACTAGATAAAAATACCTCAGAATGTAACATATACTGATTGAAGTGCTAGAGCACAACTTTCTGTGTTGATGTATCAAGATTGTCTCATACTCTTGACTTCATTTTGTCTTCATTTAATAACAAAACCACAAAGTACTGATTCAGGTTAAAACCAGAACCATGAAGCACTGCTCTAAAGCCAAAAATGGAAATGTTATAACATTTACTTGAGAAACAGGAGAATCAAACCATCAGCTGAGCTATACTGTACCTGTTGATAAGACTGGTTTTCCCAACATACAGGTCTCCTACCACAACCACTTTGGATATTTTCAGCCTGTTATAAATATTTGAAAATATGACATAGTTTTAGTAGTAATTTCAACAGTCTCCTTCTAAAAATTCTGATTTAGATCTTTAAATTGCAAGTCAGGAGCACATGTACCTGTGACTTCAGTTTATCTATGTGCCACTGTGCTGCGTGATCCGAGTCTTAAACTGCAAGAAAGAAAGCCACCAAAAACCCAAACCCTTCTGGAGCAGAAATAGTCCATTTCTTATTCTGTTTATTTTTTTTTTCTTCATTTCATTTCAGTAGAACAAATTTTATTCTATTAAAATTGCTTTGACAACAAGTATATGCATTTGGCATAATTTTACATAAGTTTACACATAAGACCATAGTGTATCTGCATCCTCTGCATTCCAATTTATCTCAAGTTTCTCATTGACTTTAATAGTACAAATGAAGTCCTAAGTGCAGAAATAAGAAATTGCTAATAATAAAAGAACCCACTGCAGAACATGCCTCTGGGAAAAACAACCCACAGGGTTAGAGACAATACATTTTCTGACTATCTGGAATAATATTAATTTGAACCTGGCTTCATGCAAATAATCCTCTTTGCTCTTGGTCCTCCCACAGGACACAGCAGATGGGCTTTAGGTGAATCAGCCTGCATTCTTAAAATTGAAACTGTGTCTCTTTTAGGAGATCCAGGTGGATAAGTGAATTAGGGTTTACTTGTTGACCTAAACTTGGATTGACATCTCCTGTGCACATGCTACAAAAATGGCTTAAGAGGTTTAATGTTCTTTTATATCAAGGAATGGCTTTTTAACAAAGGAGTTAATCTTCTATTGAATACTATTTCTGGTTACATCAACTTCCATGTGATGCTGATTCCAAGTTATCCGTTCTAAACAGCTGAAAAATTGAATGGTAAACTGCATGACTAATATTAAAAATAAATAAAGAAATATTTATGTGCCAGTCAACATTAACTGGGTGACCACAGGCTCCTGTGCTCCTGATTATTGTTACTGAGAAAATACTGAATGAAATCAACAACCTTAAGGGAAAAGCCAATGAGTAAGAGATGGTTTAGAGGTGTGTGTTCCATTAATTCCTACTGGGGAAAAAACTCCCTAGATCAGACCATTTAACACAGTGATGGACTATCAGGAGAGCATTAAATACAGCCATTAGCTACTGAATTTTTCAGACTAGCTTTCCAAAGGAAAAAGAAATATTTTATTAGTTGGGATAATAGAAAAGGAAGATAATGGTTATTCCTGTCAAGCTTTACAAATACTGTACAAAACACTCTGGCTGCCATTCCTATCCCCATACCACCAAAAATTACCTAAATGACCAAATAATAATCATACCTAGAAAGCAGTGACAGAAAAGTAATTGATTCTATTCACAAAGACAAAACATATAGCTTTATAGTTATACTCTGTTTCCAGAAGAAATTACATAGAGTTGGTTTACTATAGAAAGTTAAAAAAATACTAATAATAAAAATCCCAAACAAATACATCTTGGAAATGGAAGGAAAAAATACCTCAATTCAATAAGGCATGCCTTACTTGAAAAATTGTCCAGACACTTGTAACAAATTTACATGAAACTACGACTGTGACTATGTTTCTAAAAAAGGAATAAAGTCACTGATGTCTCCCAGGGTGACATATTTTGGCTTAAAAAGTATTTTTTTAGCAAGACTCCCTAGTGAAATGAATAAAAAATTGCATTTAAAGATGGATATCATGACAAGTCTCATGTCAGCAACTCTAGAGCTGGAGGAATAGTGAGCTAATTGTCAGTATTCATAGGAGCTCCACTTTATGGAGGATCTTTCACACTGAAACCAGAAGCATTTATCACTAAAATGTACAGCTATTTATTTTAACTGAATAGTGATGATTTCAACACAGTTTAGCTTTTTTGCCTTGCTTCAAAGATTAAATCACTAATAGTAACAGCTCTGGGAGAGATAATGGGGGGGAAACAACTTCAAGATTATTAGTAGAGCATAAGCCAGTTTATTTTGATTTTTAAATGTTATATATTTACCAGAATTTTGCTCCTGTTTTGAGGAGCCATATAAGAGAACTTCCCAGCATGTATGCCTCAAAAAGATTAAAACCAGATTCCTAGATCTTTAAAGAAACTTAGAACTGCTGCCTTTATATCCCTACAAAGCCTTTATTAACTGTTCCTTTGGAACACCTACAGAGAACACAGCAAGACTGAATCTGTTACATCTTTTGAACTGAGTGTTTACTTAAAGGGTGCTAAAAATATTTTCATTTCTAAACTACTACACCTGTTTTTCAAAGCCACCTATTCCAGCAGAAGAAGAGGCACTCGATTTGTGTACTGTGGAACAAGTCAGAGAATTGCCTCGTGCAGGGTCTTAGCTGCCTTGAAACATACTGGAGTGAGGAACATGAGGAATGAAGGGGGAGAAGCCAATGAAGAAAGGAAGCTATAAAGAGCTTAAAATACTTTCTTCCTTGCATACCTGGGTTATTACAAACTTACCCAGCTGTTCCAGTGCTCTGCTGACAAGCAGTTCTGACCTGTGCATGAAAGTGCTCTTTAAACTGCAGACAGGCTTCAGGTGTGTACCACTGAAAAGAGAGAACAGCTGCTGGGACAAACTGGGTGATAGCTACATGGCAAGAAGTCAAATTGGCAAAGAAAAAGAAATAAAATTATTTTTCACAGGATTTATCAAGAACAGCATAATCCTGGCATAAGAAAAGGGGTAGGTTGGGTTAGAAGGCAGTAAGGTTTCCCCCGAGCTGGATTTGTAAAAACTCCTTGGGACAACACCATCCTTTGAGCACCTTTCTGAGTGTCAGTGTCCAGCACTGCCTAAGCACCCATGGCCAAATCCATTTGCTCATCATTCTGTACAACAGTAAGTACCTCCAATTATCTCAGTAATCTAAGACACACACGACAAACATGGATGGGAGCACATCACCAGCAAGTCGTTATTACTATGAAGTTTTTCAATCTTTTGTATGTGTGAAGCACTGTTTTTATTACTAGCCCTTTAACTGTGAATTAGTTAAAAATGAGGAAAATATATTTTACTTTGCATTTTCTTAAAATACCTGTGGTATTTTTCATAAAATTAAAAGCAAAATATGTGGCTGAGATCAAGAATGGGAAAAAAGCGAACTCCCTTAAAAGGATCTTTTGAACAACTGAAAAAAACAAGTGGTAATTCCTTGCCTTTCCCTGTCTTTAACTGTTCCATTATACTTCAAATACAAAAGTCTTTGGGGACATCAAAGGTATTTTGTCTGTGTTTCTACAGTGCCTCCTACATTTGATCTACTGTATGACTAAGGTTCTTGTACAAACAGAAAATTAAAATTGCCTCAAATTCTTTAACCAAAGCCTCCTAATTAGATTTTTTGGCAAACTTAATGTCAGCTATGGTTCCTCTTTGCCCTCAGTGTTGGAGCTCCTTAAGCATGTAATTATTACTGTTTTGCTGAAAACAAATATAAATATTGTACTACTGTAGCAAGAGTCACTTTTTTTAAAGGTTATCAAGAATGAGGATTATTATTAAAGAGATCAGCATTGGATGGAACTATGAGATCACATTGAACTTTGAAAGAATTTTAAATAATTTGTAATTTTAACAGAAGACAACAAGTATATATTAAATAAAAATACCATATTAGCACAATGTAGAGATAGATCGGTGTGGCAGGGGCTACATACTGTGACCAAACAGATAAAAAATGCTTACCTTGGGAAACTTGGAGATTATTCTTTCTCTATTCATTGGTGGAACCAAATGCATTAGGCTGGACTTCATCCTCCAAGTTCAGTTAAACTCTACAGGACTGAAAATATGTAAAGAGAAACACAGTATTCAGGAATTACCTCAATACAGGAACAACATGATAAAAAATAACCAAGTTCTTGCAGACTTGTCAACTTTTTTTTCCTTTTTTCTTTTTGGTACAACTAGCAGTTCAGTTTGCATAGAAGGAAAGCTGTTTCTCATGTAAAACTGACCACCTCAGTGTGTCTAGTAGCAAATGGTGGCCTTCTGAAACTACAAGGCACCAACTCTAATTCCCTGGGAGGGCAGAGAATTGTTCACTTATTTCAACTCTTGCTTGCAGTTTAGCCCTCAAAGGATTTTGCAGTGTTTAATTTAAAAATTTTGCTCATCATTGTTTCAAATGCTGCTGCACTAAATACATCAATTAATGTTAGGGGATCCCAGATTTCATGTGGTCAGAAGAAGAAGGGAGGAAAGATGAAGCTGCCGCATTTCTTGGCACAACATCAAACTTTCATCCAAGATCAGCTCAGAAAGAATGAAACCCGTCTGACATGGAAAACGAATAACGTTCACATGAAAATCACAAATGCATTCAGATGTCTCACCTGAGATATATCAATTTGGTTATGTAAGGAAACCTCGTGGGTTGCTGGGGGAGGGGACCCTTATTAGGGTACCGATTTCTTACTGGCATTCAAAAGAACATTTCTAATGGGAGCATTTTCATCACGTAGCAAAGTGTAAGGAAGGACTCACCGAGCAGCAGCTGATGCAGCAGGATTACAGCCACACAAGCAGCTCAGCCCCTGCTAGGTGGCCATAGCAACAGGTTTGCAACAGTTCCCTTCCTCCCCTTCTTCCACAGACCGGGAAGGCGGACTTGGAGTAATTGAACTACTCAACGAGCCGTGGTTTTAAAACAACAAACATTTAAGTGGTCATACAGACCACTCTGATCAGAAGCTGCTCCTCAATAAACCAAATGGTCCCTAATCCTGGATAGGGAAACAGTTCCATTTTCTTCAAAGATCGTTGTACATATGGGTACAAAGAGCAAGATTCACCTATTAGACAAGGAACTAATGGAGTGGGGAACTATTACAGTGCTAATATTAAGCATAGCAGCAATTATAAAGAAACTCCCAGGGGATTTTTTCAGCACTTCAACTTGATTTCATCTCAGCTTTAAAGTCAGGATGCGCATGCCACTAATGAGACATTCTGAATTATATAAATGTCTTTCTACTCATTAATAATCTTGCTTTCTAATGCACAAAACACCAAAGACAAGGAATAAGAAATTACGCAGCTCTTTTGCATTACCAAAGAATTGTCAATTAACTCATTAATTTAGACATTATTTAGAAAAGCAGAGTGCAACTTAGGATGCTAAAAGATTTTGCTATGTATTTTATTAGCATTTAAATTTTCAACTTTCAGGAGAAAATAAAGCTCTCCAACTCCAACAGTCATATTTTGATAAAGCTGGAAGAGGCTTTGAACCAGGAGACAAGCCTCTCCAACTTTTGCAGCAGACTAAAATGGTTAAAGGGCACATCAAAGCAGACCAGTAATTTTATACAGTGAGCAAGTACAGAGGAAAAAACCTTACAGTTGTGTTTTACAAACGCACATAAAGAATAATGTTTAAGAAAATTGCCGGTCCACTACTTAGAATTAGTATTTTATTCTCTTCCATGAGGAATTGCTTTGAAATCACTTCAGGCAGGAATATGATCTCAACCATAGCAAGACAGCCACTTCCCCACAAAGAACCCAGATTTATAGCTGATGGGTCATTCACCAAAGAAGGTGACATCACAGTATTTATCTCTTACCATATGGAGAGTTCTGCTTAGGCTACTTGTGACCATACAGAACTTGAGAGATCTAGAGCCTTGTTACAGTGTGCTCCTTCCCTTCTGGCCAGCTTGAATGAATTTATGGCAACATTAATGTCTTAATTAATGTCAGAACTATTAGTATAGTTCTGAAAACAACAACTCCACGAGTTGGTAAGAGTTTCAAACACTAACTTGCTTTCTGCATGTTCTAGTTGTAGTAGTTCAACACCTCCTAAGAATGGTAAACACCTGTCGTGTACATAGACTGACTCACTGCTCCTCTCCCAGAGGAAACTTAGCTACAAAAACCCCAGTTCAACAACCTCAGTGAATGCAAAGTACAGGAGGCAACAAGGTGACCACACAGATATATTTCAAAACTGAGTGGCCATCTTCACTTACACTTAATGTATTTAATCTAAATCTCACACACATAAGCATATCCCAATTTATCATATCAACAAATAAGACACACTATTACAGGAAAATATTTTAAGAAATAAGAAGCTGCTAAAAATACTGAGAATTATCCATATTTTCCCTTCTTAAAGAGCTGAAAGGGGATTCAGTCACCAGGGAGGGCTGGGAACACAGTGTCTCCATGGCATCACAACCCTCCTTATCTCAACATGGCAAGAACAGTAGCGCCAGCAGGTTCTGTGGATAGACAGAGGATGTGAGGAAGGCATTCAGAAGGCATACATAAAATATGTTAATGTCATGACCACTAACAAAATCGGTATTCCAAGCTAAGGTGAAGGACAAGACAGAACAACTCCCACCAAAATCAGAGGTAACACTGAGGGACAAGTCTCTGATTCGGTCCTGATTTCTACGCCGAGAAAAGTTCATGCTTTTCCTATGGAAATCAGGTGAACTTTTACAAGTACATAGTTAGTCAAAGTCTAATTCAGGTAAATCACCTGCAAGGTAAATAATCAGCTCTAAAATGTTGCAGAAAAATTAATCCTTTCCAGAAAATACTTCTTAAAGTAGCAATTTTTCTTTTATGGATTTTGAAGATCAACAAACCAGAACCTATTCCTGTGATGCATTTTAATCCGGCTGATCAGAATTACTTTGGATTTGTAAAATCCTTTTTAAGAACTTTGATTATTACAATTGTTACTCAGACATAATGAAAAACATCTCAACGACTTCACTATCTGCACTATCCTTTTATAGCACAAGCTGTTCAGAGCTTTTTCCTGATGCCAGATAACATCTGACAATCCAGAACACCCTTAAACTGTGCCACAACATTGCAAAGATCCGTTCTTCCCGTGTACCTTCCTCTGAACAGTTATGTGAAACTAAGTAATAATGGAAATCATTACTACACATTCTAGCTGCTCATAGTGACATTCTGGAGAAGATTAGGAAAGAAAACAGCCCCAAAACTACCGCGTTCCCTTCAGCCCTTGTACCCCAAGGCACTCGTCTGCTGTATTTCTGCCCCTAACTCGACCACCATTTTGCTCGCTCTGAATTTTCCTCGATTTTGTTCAAGTAAAATTACTTTGAAAACAGGGGGCGAGGAGAGATACTCCACATTTCAGCAGCAAACCGAAGTAGAACGGCCGCCACTCCGGGACCTCACGGCACCATCGCCATCCCCTCACGGGTCCCCTCAGCGGCCGCGCCTCAGCCCCCGCCCGCCCCGCGCCCCGCTGCTAACTACGCCATTGACGCAAGTCCCTCAGCGCGGGCTCTGCCAAACGCGGTGCTCACGCTGGTGACGCACGGCCGGACCCTGCCCTGCGGCGTTAGTCGCT